CTCAGCAGAGTCCCTAGCATACAAAATGCATAATAGAAATTCTCATGACAAGTAATATTCTTAAGATAAGGAATGGAGAAAAATTGACATGATCTTTCTTGTCACTTAAACACTGGATAATGAGTTGATGGAAGTGAGAATGAATGTGTGGCAACTTCTATCTATATAGATACTCAAGAGAAGCCCATTTCTAAAGCAATATAGTGGTTGCTAAATGGATACTAAAAGATTATATGTCTCAGCCCTCCCTCATGGCACAGCGGGTTAAAGTGCATCACTGAGAAGCTGGCCACAGCCACAGCAGTGCAAATTCGATCCTCGCCCTGGAGGTGACCCACATGGTGCAGTAGACCATCCCTGTCTTGCCCGCTCCCCTCAGCAGTGTACTTTGTCAGTCTGCCCGTTCTGCTCCCTGCTCTGACTATGGTGAAGCCTCTCACTGTCTCTGCACCTCTGGCTTGTACCCCAGTTCTGTATGCATAAATAAATAAACCTTTAAAAAGAAAGTTATATGTCTCTAAGTTATGTTTGGTGGAGGAGAAAGACTTTGAATTTTAGAATCCCATTGCCTAGAGTTTAAATCCTGGCTACACTTACTTCTGAGTTGGTTTCAGGCAATAAAACTAACTGTTCTGCATCTAGTTTCTCTTCTACCACTGAAACTGCAATATATATTCTGTAGAGTTGTTTGACCATTCCCAAGGAGTTATGCAAAAAGTAGATCCTCAAAATATTGTATTTATCTCCACTACTTTAAATCATTCTCTTACTTTGCATTGAAAAAGATTCTCCTCAGTAAAGCTAACATAATTTTGGTTAATGACCTTATCATAGCTTTTCCAAGCTATGAACCCCTGAGGTGCTGAAAGAATCAAAAACCCTGGGGAGCTCAGGCAGGTATAAGTGAGCTAAGCCCAGAGAGTGTCTTTTGTTAGTTCTGACTATGAGGACTACAGGTGAGTGGCGGCCCTGAATGAGGTAAGAAGAATGCTTCTGTGTTCGTTATTAGGGTGATCCATAAATGTGGGAGATACAGGATGCTCTCTGCCAGGTGATGATTTCAGAACTGCTGTGGAAG